TCGGTAAAAATACTTAAAAAAAATGTTAAAAATTTAAAAAATTAAACTTAAGCATTTGGGCCATAGAATAACCATTTACCAAAAAATCATCTCGATCGGAGCAGCGGTTTAGATTTTTTAAATCGAAAAGTTAATTTTAAATGTAGCCAACAAATTATGGCGGATATCGAAATTTCTTTTAGATTTCTAATTAGGCCCTTTCAAGACCTAAAATTCTGCAAAATCAAAATTTCGAAATTCCAACCACTTTAGAAGCTAAGCTTAAGTAAATCTAATGATTTTTTGCTCTAAATATGGATGTTGGAGCTGTTTGGGGCCACTGGGGGGACATGTCGGACCTTAGTGGGCGCCTACGCCCCCAATGGAATACTGTGAAAAATTTTGGCTGCTCTAGCTCTTATGGTTTAGGCTGTGGTCGTATCCCCCTAAAAATCGGTCTTTCATTTTATAATCTTTAGAGATAACACACAAATACCTATGAAAGGCTACGGCCAAAATGCTTTAAGCGAAAAACGGATCCGCTCGCAGGATCGGGAGGTAAACAAAAAAAGGAGTGCCCCAATGTCGGATGGGGATCAACAGCTGGAGTTAAATATTTCGGGAAATGAGGAAAATTAAAAAAAGCACCTACAGCTCCAACTCATTTGGGTGAAAACAGTAGGTGTAATTTTGGAGACGAAATTTGCCAGCAATTTTCGTCGTGCGCCCCTCGTCTTTAACATAATTTAAATTTTTGCAAAATATTTGATTTAGAATGTCTGCATTGGGTGATCCGTTATTTTGTCCTAATTTAATCATTACATACTTATGTATGTACATGCCAATTTATCGATGTGTGTGTGTGTCATTGCGTTTCTCACATGCAAATGTGACGACTGAAAGTTTTTTTTCCTGCTCTCCCCTTGAAAGCCAATCCAAAATGTTTTTAAAATCAAAACCAAAATTCCTTATGAATTTAATGGGTTGGCTACACACTTTGACTTAGAATTGCATCCATTAGATAATCCGTTCTGGTATCCAAATAGAAAAATTTTATCAGGTGTTTCTAAGCTAGAAACAAAACATTGGCGGCGTCTCTTTCGCTTCAAATGACTCTCTCTCTCTGCTCACTACTCTCTCGCTCTGCTTTTGCTGACGTTCGTGAGTGCTGCGAAAAACAAAAACAACGTGCTGCCAAAGAGGCCCCCGCAACCCCCGCAAACAAAAAAGATCATATAAAATCAACCGTGGGTCCAAAAAAAGAAAAAAAATACCTTACTAATTGTATGGCATAGCTCCGCACTTTAAAACAAAAACGGATGCGATCGCATAATCGGTGCGGAAAAATTAATTAAGTGCCCCAACCGGAAGTCGGTGGGGGCTCATCTTCTGGGCTTTCAAAGATTTCCACAAATAAAGCTTAAAAAAAAAATATCAACTTGTTTGGTTAAAAACTGTGGGAATGGTTGATGTTTTAATTAACCAATTTTGCATTTTTTGAGAGTCCTGGGAGTCCTTAGGAGCCGAATTTTAAAAAATCCTTTCTTAGTGCACACCTCCTCTAACACACGATTCAGACCCAATTTTTTCCAGAATTTTAGGACTTATGGTTTGGGCTGGGGGAACATGACGCAAATCGACATCTACTCTTTTATAGTAATACTCGATTAGTGCTAATTGTGTTGCGGTAACTTCGGCTTCAGCCAGCATAATTTACTTTTTATTAAAACCCTTTAGGCTACGAACAAAGTAAATGGCCCTTTTCATCGACCTTACATCTGGTTTGAGGCAAAGCATTAACATTTAATGTTGCTTTTCACAATTTACAACTTCATTAACGCTTTGTAGGATCGCAACAAATCATAAAATTTCATTCATGAATCGGAAAATATTGTGGGTATATTGTGGGTTTTTACCCATGTTTTGGACACGTCGATCGAAATATGCCGCATCACGATCAAGATGCCGGGATGAATGAAATGAATCAGAAACTGAAACAGAAATCAGAAACGCAGAAAGCAGAAACAAATTGCCATCAGTTGGTACTCAGTCGCCGTATCCCCTTTTGTGCTGCATCATTTCCATGCCCCATGCGGCATTATCCTGTGGCCCAAAACGTGGCCAAGTCGCCGGCCCGAGGTGTCGGCTGTAAGCTAATTGGAAGCGTGTTCAAAGGTGCCGCCAACAAATTAAGTATGAGTTACCAATTTAGCTTTTATATCTCTATCGCACACGCACACATGCCCACCGAGCCGAGCGGCACATAGATACTCGCACACTTGGCAGGAAGAGAGATGCGGATGTTGGCCAAGTCGGCCTGGGCTTGGGTCTTTTGGACCTCTTGGGGGTTCCTCGGCTCCTCGATTGTTCGCTTACTTCGCTTGTCTTGGCTGCTCCAAACTGGTTCTGGGCCCGCTCTCACAACTAAGTTGTAATTGCAGTCCTTTGATTGCATTTGTGTGCCAAGCTGAATTGTTTACATTTATCATAATCAGCACTCGAGTCGTTTGTAACCGCCGCGAGGGTAACTTTTCATCTTTTGGCAACGCGGCGCCAGTTAAACTGGAAGTCCGACTTCGAGATGCAGATGCATCTGCATCCCAGACTGGCACTTGATGTAGGTCGTTCGTCGGGTTTGTCCGTGAGTTTCTGTATCTGTAGCTGTTGCTGTGGCTGTGTCTGTGCGCCGGCACTTGATCACCTGACAGGGGAAACGTTGAGTAATTGCTGACAATATGGCTGAGCAGGGAAGACAACGCGTTTAGTCAGGGATCGGACAGCCAACTGGAGAACGGGGTCCCCAAAAAGTTTTTGGGAAGAAATTAACCCGTACCTGCTTGACGTTTTTATTAGTTCCGTTTTAAGATCTAATCAAATGTTGCAAAATATTCGGTTCTTCGGATATTCCTATTCTTTTATTTCTTTTATCAATAAAATATTTGTTAGTTATGTGAAAAAGGGATAGGCGATGGATAATATCAAAAGTATGGATTATATCCGATGAAAAAAATAATATTATATGTTTTTTTTTCACAGCACATCGGTAACGACCTTTTTCCCATTGATATTATCAGCTATCCCGAGCCAAACTATTAATTCTATTAACAGGCCAACGATTTCCCAACTTACTCAACACCGTAATCATGGAAACGGCGAATTTACTCGCATCTGGCCCCATTAAACCGGGTTGTAAGGCTCATGAGGCACTTCCACTTACTGTGCGGTGGGTTCATTAGTCATTTTTAGTTGATTCGATTAATGGGTTTCGACATTTACGCATTTCTGTTTGTTTTCACGGAAGTGCTCAGGGAGATTTTCCCATAATTAGAGGCCGTCACAGTTTACCTCGATTTGCCGGGCAAATTTTCTCAGCTAATAAAACAAATGCCACCGGTAATGGCTCCAGTAATTTGTACTACAACTCAATTTCAATTAAATGCTGTTCGGAGATACTTTCGCCGGGCCACTTTCCAAGCGCACTAATAACGCCCAAGACCCAGTAATCGACGGCTTTTCGGGGGCTCTTAAAGTTTCTTTATCGCGGCGCATGCGTTGCATTGTCACACGTTTGGAAATGAAAATAAATGGCTTTCGGCCGAGTTTCGGATATGGAGCGTCGTCGATCTGCATCTCATCCATATGCACGAGGCTTTTCCCGTCTAGTTTACGAACTGTTAGACACTGGGAGTGGGTTTCGGATGGACCAGTAGGTCGCCGTGGATCAGTATCGGATCGGTTCGGTATCGGGCATCATTAGCAGCGGAATTGATAGCTTGATTATTCAAATGATTAACAAACGATCGGCTGCTGGCCAAGTTCGGTGGGTTCGCTTGAGAGAGTCCGAATCGAGACCGAGATTGATGGCGCACTTCAGTTGGGGAGAGCTCGCAGGTCATCTTCTCGGTTTCTCAGCTCCTCAGCTTCTCAGCTCCTCAGGTTGGGATTGAAAAATGTGTGCGCCGCTGGCGATGATGGGCCACCTTTGAACTTTGCCGCAAACGGTAGCCAGAGAGCAGTCGGCTTCCAGTTGGAAATTTATGAAAACGATCGCTTCGGAAATTAATAAATATCGAAATAATTTCGAGTAAATTTCATATGCAAATTGCCGCTGTGCACAAATCTGCAAAGCCAAGTCACATCATCGCTCGGCTTTGCACACTTAAAAGTGTTGTGTGGTTTTTTTGTTTTCGTCAGTTTGGATTTTTTTGCCCAACTCGTTTTCGATCGTGGCAAGTGATTAAATTAATAATTAATTAGTTTGAATTTATGAATAACGGTTGTAAATAATCATTAATAAAAATTAAAAAAGATTTCTTTTATTTTAAGACTCTCCGCCACTCAGCACAGCCTCAACAAAATACGTAGCAACATCATTAAGATCGATCGGGCAGAAACAGAATATTCAAATTAGAACGGGCATCCAGATTCAGATACTCAAATTCGAATTGAACTCACCGACACAACGCAGGCCAAATGGAAGCTCTCGTTGGGACTTGAGCATTGTTTGCTTAAATATGCTTAAATTTATTGACAACAATTTGCGGTCTTTTGTATCTCCCTTTGTTTGCCTGAAATTATTAATTGGAGTGAAACAGATTTCGCTTTTTAACGCTAATTGGTTGGGGAATTCTGACGGAGCTCGGTGTTTCAAAATTAGTTGATTCGGGTTTTCTGTAACTTAATCAAAAATTTAAAAAGGTAATAAAATCTTGATCATTTAATGGCCAAAGACTATTGAAATTCATAAATGTGTGGAAAGAAAATACTTTAAAAGCGATACTCAATTTATAGTAATTCCTTTTAACAAAATACAGATATAGGGGATTACAGAAATGTAATAAAACAAAATCTATAAAGAATTAGCCCACTTGTAAAGAGAAAAAATTGGCAATGAAATTCATTTATTATTTTTTATTTTATTATCTGGAACATGTTTGCATAAATTTTGTATAAACCTTTTTTTAAAACCTTTAACCTGTGATGAAAGTTTAAACATCTCTTTGCGTATCTGTTTGGTGGCTCTAAAAAGAGCCGATTGGGTTGATTATAATCGATGTGATCCTGGCTGTAGGGCCGAATCCTGGTTCTGGCTGGTTCCGTTTCCACTTCCGTTTCCGGTTATGATTGTTCTGGCTTGTTAGCGGGCCCGCAAAAGGGCCTTGGTCCTGGCTGGTTCTTCTCCAATTGGGTTTGGCAGTGAATGTTGCCTTTGCCCCTTTCTCGTTGGCCCCGGAAGCTGTTAAGGATGTCCTGGCACTTCCTTTTGGCCGCCTAATGCCTTGGGGAAATCCGTTGGGTGCAAAATCAACTGCCCAACTTCCCCGGCACTCGACTCAAAATTAAACAAAATACTCGACTCCTCGTTGCTCACTTTCTGTACCAATCATCAGGTTGCCTTGGCGGTTCGGTGCGCACCTGGCCACGCCCTCATTTGGGCGGTGCCCCTCCCATCGGCACGGATCCTGGCACCGGAACTACCATTCCAGCAGCGGCTGCTGCGGCCGCCAATCCCACCATATCCGCCTCGTGCATGGGCTTCTTCTTCAGGATGCTCAGATCGTTCACGTTCTCCAAGAAGGACTTGTGGGCCGAAAAGACCTTGACGCTATCGAAGTCCTTCTTCAGCTCCTCGATGTCCCGCTTCTGCTTGGCCCTGCGGTTCTGGAACCAGGTGATCACCTGGGCATTGGACAGGCCCAGGGAGGCGGCGATCTCATCGCGATCGGCTGGCGACAGGTACTTCTGGTAGAGGAATCGCTTCTCCAGCTCGAAGATCTGGTGGTTGGTGAAGGCCGTGCGCGACTTGCGCTTCTTCTTCGGCTGCGGCCGGTTCGAAAAGATGTCCAAATGGGATTTGTCTAAAATTATAGAAGAAAAAAAAGATTGGTCAGTTATTGAGAACTTTAAAAATATATTTATAAGTTTTGACATTTTCAAAAATTAATTTCCTATCCTAATAGATGTTACAAAGTTTCCTCAAATAACTAAAATTAATTAGAGTTGGCTACTTCGAGTCTGGCTAGCTTCAAGGGGAATTCTGCGATGCATGGCATTTGCCGAACCGGTTACTAACGAGCGACTTGCCTTTGGTTTTAATTGCCAAGCCGAACAGGGCGCGTGTTGATTTAAATGCTGTGATTGATACATTTTATGAATGCGATTGCAAGCGCAATTGCAGTTGCAATTCTAAGATCTCGAATCGCTGATCTGAGAGATCGCGGCTCTCGACTTGAAGTGTATAATTTCGAGTTGATTGATTGCGCGAGTTGTGGGCGTTCATTGGCTTTGCGGCTCTAATGACGATCGCAGCTTTCTCAGGCCTTGCGCCTTATGCAAGCCAGCTGCTCATTTGTCTCGTTTGTGGTGTGATTTATAATAATTATTGACACCTACAAATCAGTTTTAAGTGGTACACGTAGCCCTGGCTTGATTAATGAGCCACTGACCCGTACTTAAGCCGCTGATTGAGCTTGCATAACGTTTCCTGGTGCAAAAATTCCAGATGCGGTGCCAATCAAAGCGATCGGAGGAGATCAGCGATCGGCGATCATCAGCATAAATATTTATTTATTGAATATTGGCTAACCGGTTCGCCGGACGATGGCTTCACACCCATTCCGATTGCTTGTCAAACAAACTAGATCGACATTAAAAACTAATTAAATGCCCTCCAACCGAATGCAAACGAAGTCCCAGGCGAATGGGGAATGGGAATAGGAATGGGTGTGGGTATACCCGTTTTACATACGTATTATACATGTATTCGAAATGCATAATTTGGTCATTTGTTATCTCGAGCACGTTTTGTAACCCAAAACCCATTAGGCACTTGACTGCACGCCTCCCTTTCTCCGAGCCTTTCTCCCTCTTTCTACGCAGCTATTTCGTATTTGTTTTTATCGGGGCCTCATTAAGTAATTTCCATGACTTATCTCTGGAGAAAGGGAAGGGCCACTTGGGTATCCTTTTACCCTCTCAGGTGTCCACTTACAAGGCATAAATATGGTCCTTAGTTAGGGGGAGTTTTGTTTTGGTTGTATTAGTCAGGGAAACCTGATCGATTTTCGAGGAACCTGCAGGGCAACAGTTGGCCACAGGGATTTTATGTTTTAATTTGGCGCGAGTACCAAGAATTGCAATTGGGATTTGGCCAGCCAAGGCGACACTGCGTCTGGCACTGACTTTACGGGAAAAAGGAAAAGCAGTTCAAACAACCGCAAAATGAGTTCAAGTAGGAATGCATTCATTCTTTTCGAATGTGAAAATATCTCCATTAAAGTGCGAGTGATATTAATGGGCACTTGTCATAAATTGAGAGACACCCGTATCCTCGCAGCTGCCTATCGCCTCCGATGAACTGCTGATAGACAAACGACGCCTCCGAAGTCGAAGCCCCAAAGAGATCTGTCGTAAATATTTCGTCTACGCGTTATACAATCCATGATAAACAGTAATATGTGTATTTTGTCAACTTAATACCCGGCGATACGGCGTTATACAACGTCCTAGTGTCATCGCTAATCGTTCGTTCAGTGTATTTTAAAACATGTTTACGACTGGAGGAGCTATAGCCACTATATGGTCATAGAGTTTGTCAGCCATTAGTTTTGAGTAGCAACAAATGGAAACGGCATGTTAATTGTTCGCCGAGGAACCGAGGAGCCGAGGAGCAACAACAAAACTCGATTAGGTAATGCACCAGCCAGCTAATTGTTGCTAATCGCTGCAGAATCGACACGACTACACAAATATACTAATGTGGACAGAGCGCGCACTATTAACCATTAATTGCCATGAAATCACTGTCAGGTTTTTGGGGGGTGGAGTGCGGGGACTACTAGAACTACAACGCCCACAAAATTCCCTCTGAGTATTACAGTTTTGAACTGTTGAAGAACTGAGTTCGTCTCCTTCAAGTGAATTATACTTTATCGCCAACTTGTTTCATTTGTTGCTGTCTGCCACTGGCGCATGCTGCCAATTAATTAAAAGCCCGAAATCGAATCGGTTAAGGAATTTACATAACAAAAGACCCCAAATGGGGGGACCCGGGGGAATGGGGCCATTTATTTCAATTAAACGAAATACGAATTTGCTGATTGATAAATGGCAAGCATCATAATAAGCTGAATATTCAGCTGCTGCCTTTTCGATTCCCCAATTTCCAAACGATAACAAATTAGAAGCTTTTATTCTAATTAAGAAATCGCGTAAATTCATTACGGAAATTGAGACATTTATCAATCGAAGCACAGGGGCTAAAAATCACTGGGGATCTTAAGTGATCAGAAATGTATTAGTATTTGTAATATTAAAATTAAAAACTCACAATATTACAAATTACTTGAAACACTGGAAAAGTATATCAAGTATAATGTTTAAAAGAATGTAATCATTGACTACTCCAATTAGTAATTTCCAAACAAAAAAAATAAATCGAATATTTGAGCTATTTTTGATATGAGGGATGCTGTTGCTTACCTTGTGACTCATCAAAGTCCTTGGTGGTCATCTGGAAGAGGGCATCCAGAGGAGTGCCGTTGGCCTTGGCCTTGGCAACGGCGGCGGCATTGCTGGCACCACTGGACGCTCCTCCTGCTCCCTGCGACGGACTGGAAGCACTGGCAGAGCCGCTGGTGCCGGCCTGAGCCGACGTCTGCGGACTGTGACTCCTACGCGCATTGGCTGCGGAGGCAGCAGCGGCGGCCGCCGAATCCCTGGCGATCTCCGGCGAACAGCAGTCACTGGCCGCCGAACTGGAGCGGTCGGAACCGCTCTCCGAGGGAATGATGTCCATGCCCATGTGGCGCAGCAGTTGGGCCTGGGCGTTGAAGTGCTCCTGCAGCTGGCGGTGGTAGTCCAGTGCCAGGCGCTGCTCGTAGTGCAGCAGGGCGGAGGGGATGAAGGGGCGCACGGGCATGGCGGGGCCAAGGAGGTGATCCCAGGGACGGACGATCTGACCGCCTGGTAAGAGCATGGCGGCAGCGGCAGCCGGATGGACGTCCAGAGGTTCCGTTCGGGGCTGCAGCAATCCTCCAGTGGAGCCAACGGGTCTGGAGGAGGGTGGAGCCAGCAGGTTGGCATTGGGAGGCGGCGAAACGGACTCCTCCCGCTGCTTCTCCGAGTGACCCAAGATGTCCGCAATGGAGAAGCTCTTGACCCCCTCGATGGCCGACTTGGTGGTCTGGTTGGTGGTCTGCTGGTTCTCCGGAACCACCACAGCCGGCGGACTGGGCGTGTGCTCACGTGGCTCCGAGGAGGACGAGGACATGCGCAGGCGCTTCAGCGGCTGGAAGTAGTCCTCCGGAAGATTGCCGACGGCACTCCGGCTGAGTCCGGAGGCCGCTGCAGCCGCTGCGGCATGGTGCTGCATCAGCAGCTGCTGTTGCTGCATCAGCAGTTGCTGCTGCTGCAGCAGATCGATGGTGCTGGCCCGCGGATGCGAGTGCGGATGTGGATGCGGATGGTGCTGCGTGGGCAGCGGGCTGGGGGCTCCGCCCACGGAGATTTCGGATTCGGCGGGACTGGCCGGACGCATGGTTGGAGGGCAGAGCATTTAGGTTCTCTACAGCACTTGGTTATTTTCCGGGTTAGTTAGAGCACTAAACTGTTTGTTTTTTTTGGATTTTAAGACGGCTTTATCACTACACTGACTTTGGACAACTGACGCTGGGCAATGGCTCTTGAATCGAGCAAACCTGGCACTCGAATCTTGTTATTTTCCTCTGATTAGCAGTTAACACTAATGTCTCGACACGACGACGCTGATCCAGTGGCGTAGGACCTCTCAACTCGACGCTTCGCAGTCAACTGTTCGAAACTAGATTGAAGATTGGTTTGCTAACTAGACACGTCGATATTTCTTCAGTTCTTTTGCTGCCGCTGCTTCTCTCCCCGTCTCTCTGCGCTCTTTCCCCTTCCTTCTCTTTCTCGCCCCCTCGCTTCGCATCGCTCGCTCTCGCTCTCTCTCTCTTTCTCAATCAAATCATAACTGTGCTCTCTTCGCGAGAGAGAAAAACCCGTTCTGCGAGGCGACTGAGCAGGATGGCAGTATGCTCCTGCCATCTCGCTCTTCGCAGCTCTCAGCACCAATCGGCTACAGCAACAAAAAATAGCAATGGTGGCGTATACGTAACGGTAATTATGGCGTTCATCATGCGACTGGTGTGCGAAAGGGACGGCAGGCGGCGGGTGCGAGCGAGACGGACGCTCCTCAGATTGTAACGAGACTGTATTTAGTATTTTAGTCGCTGCAAAGTTTTCACAACTCCAAATGCGTCGACGGCGACGCAGGCAGCGGCAGAGGCGGAGGCAGAGGAGGCGAAAAACCCCTCTCAGCACCTCCCGAAAAGCCCCCGAAAACCCCCTCCCCCAGCCATTATGGCTCGTAACCCCCCGCACAGTTAGCATTAATGACGATGACCCCCGAAGGCAGCCCGCGTTTAATTGTCAAGCGTTTGCAATTAATTTGCTGTAAGAAAAACGAACAATTAATTTGGAGGAAAAGAAAAAAGGAAACGGTGGGGGAAATAAAAAATGCGCATAAATTTGAAAACATTTGAAAATTAATTCGAGTCTGAGAATGGAAATGAGGCCAGTTTCGGTTGAATGCGAAGGGATATTCTCTATTTTTAGCCGATATTGGTTAGGAGCCACTTTATTTAATTGAAACTAATTGTTCGGATTCGTTTATTTGGTTTCCAAATAAGACCATTACTTTTTTAGGGTCATTTTTCGGCTTAGAACTAAATGTTGTCAGTGCCGACGGCTTGTTCTATTGGGGAAAACTTAAAATTTGGAGTTTCAATAACAAGTAAATGTTTTTAATAAAATTCAAAATATATGTTGTTGCAGATTTATTTAATATTTTGAAAGATTAAAGTTGTTTGAGACGTTTACATTTTGTTTTCACTTGCGGGAGGTTTTAAAAATTTTGCCAGAAGTTTCAGGTGAAGGTCACACATCCGACCGCATAAAGTACACTCATAAAAATTAATTTCTAAATTTTGGAAATCTCGCCATTGAATCGGCCTACCTTTGAAAATAGAAAAAAAATTTCTTGTTATTAGAAAATTTGCGTTTGAATACAGAAAACCTTTCTTGATGGAAAAAATTCAAGAAAGAATTTTTCTTAAAAATAGAAAAATGAAAATCTCATATGTCTGTTTTGCCGTCGCAGCCAAAACATTTTTGTACGTATTTTAGGACAAAATCACCTTTGAATATATGAATGAAATGACCCTAGAATATAGGAAAGTAGCCATTGACTTCCTTCGGCTGCCGAATGTTAACGACAAGAAAAACGAAGTGGGACGAAGGCCTACCCGGCTACCGACTTCTCTGATCCCCCGAGCGTCAGTTGTGAAAAAAATTCGTGAGTGATGGACGTGATTTTCAAGCGGATAAGAGGTGAAGCCTTTTTCCAAATATTCAAAGGTATGTAAATATATAATTTTTTGTGTAGCGGGCGTACAATTGTATGTATGTAATTAAAGGAAAAATTTTAAATCTCTTTACCAAGCGTATACCAATTCAGTTGAATTGTTTTTTAGCTAAGAGCTACGTACATACATACATTTGTATATAAATTTGTGGGTGTAGAGTTCTATAATAACTTTATCCTATTACTCGCATTTTATTTATTTTTCAGAGTGAAAATACCTGCAGTTGCATCAGCCAAATAATTTGTTTGTCGAAGCTGTAATTTTGTTTTAAAACATTCTAAGGTAAGAAAAATATGTTGTATTTGTTTGACATACTTACGGCATACTTGCGGCTCACCCGATCTGAAACCCGATTTTCAACCCTTTCATATTCTGCTCCTCTCTCTCGCTCGCTTGACCTACGCGTCGCGAGTTCTCTCTGCTCCTTCTTAAAAATGACATGATCTGCCCTGCTTACATTCGGTCTCCCTTCGCGCAAAGGACTGTATGTAAATATATATGTATGTATGTACGTGTCTCATCCGTGCCTCTCTCTCTCTCTGAAATTCGATTTTCAACCCTTCATTTTCTACCTGTCTTGCTCCTCTCTCTCGGTCGTCTGACCAACGTGTTTGTATTTTGGCTATTATTAGCATTACATTATTTCAAAAAAGTTGTTTATCTAAAAACAAATCTATCAATGATTAATGATATATCCCAATAACTCTTTTTTTCTAGATGAGGAAAGGCGAAGAAAATGGATCACCTTAGGTCATATGAAGTTCAACAGACCTTGGGTAATAACAATGTTTTCTTGAGTCAAAAATGTGTTATTTAAAAATGTTTAAATGTTAAGTGTTAAATGTTTTAAATGTAAATAAATATAATATGCAAAAGAAAAAACCAAGTTACATTTTATTTTTAGGGTTTCAGTGTTAATATTAAACTTCCTTTCAAGAAATATTATTTCTTAAATCAAGAAATAAAATTTCTTGAAAGGAAATTTAAACAAGAAAGAATTTTTCTTGGTTAAAAAGTGGCTTTCTAAAAAACCCTTTCTTGTTTTAAGAAATTTAATTTCTTGAAACAAGAAACAAACCACCTTTGAAACAAGAATCGCCTTTCTTGTTTTAAGAAATATTTTTCTTGTTTTTATGGTGGCTTTCTAAAAAACCCTTTCTTGTTTTAAGAAATATAATTTCTTAAAACAAGAAATATTTTTTCTGGTTTTAATGGTGCCTTTCAAAAAAACCATTTCTTGAAACAACGGTGAGGTCGCCTTTGGCAAAAATTCAAGAAAGAATTTTCTAGATTTTAAGGAAATTCTTCGGTTTTTTTTTATGAGTGTATTAACTTCCTTTCTTCTTTGACATATTTTCTTTTACTTAGTGTAACTTAATTTTTAAATATTTCAGAATCAATTTAAAATTGTAATTTTTTTCCTTAAATTTTCGATTATGACTGTAAGAAATGGCACTTTTTAAATGGCTTTTAAAATTCCAAGTGTCTGATCCCTACCGCCCGACACCGGGTTGCATTTAAATGGCAGCCAATTTGCAATTGTCCACACGTCTTAGCCAACTTGAAGGCAAACGCTGACACCCAGAGGCCCAACAAACAACGCCAAATCCTTTTAATTGAAACAAATGTGAATTGCTGCAACAAACAGTGGAGAACAAAGGAGGAAATGGTAGCGGCAGAAGTGCCGGCAGCACAAAGGCGTCAAGGCGTCAAGGCGTCTGAAGACAAAGGGCCAGAGGTCTATTAACGAAAAATCGAAAATCGAAACCAATTGCCGTCGCAGCAGGATGCTAAACGAGAAAGGAATCGACGGCGACCACCGCAGGCTCAGCGCTCGACTTTAGCCGCAGTGGGTCTTGGTCTCGGCTTCTTGGCTCTGGGTTCTTGGGTTCCGACCTTATCCGGGACCCTTTCCGAGGTCCGAAATACTACTACCTGATGCTCCCGGAGAGCGGCTGTTGATAAGGACTAATCACACAAATATTTGAGCATTCGGTTTGTGATTGAGTCTCGCCGCGAGCGGTGCGTTTGATTCCCCGCGTTTAGCGCTTCTGTATTTTTTATAATTCTAATTTCTTCTACCCATTTCCCCTTTGTTCTCGGCGGCTATTAGTGTATCTATTAAACACACACACACACGCACTTGGTGGCTGCGTGGGAAAAGCCGCCGTGTTAATTATGCCAGGTCCTTGAAGTCGATGAATCCTTCGCGGGGAAAGTCAATTTACACCTGTGCTCCCGCTCCGAATTTTCCTCTGTGTGTGGCTCCATTCACACGCTGATAAACTCCTGCGGTGAAAGTGCCGGGAAAGGGTTCATTAATATTCAAATTTAAATGCAGGGCGACGATTTCTTTGATTTATCGGCTCAGTGGCAGCTGCCGGATAATGGTGGACAAAGCAGCCGGAGCAGCTGAATCAGTTGGTTCCCCCGGAAACGATAGATTTTCTATAATTTAGATCGCCACTATCATCATATATCTAAATGGCTCATAAGTACTAGCTTGCTAGCTATTTAAGCTGAGTTGATATTAAGCAGCGAAATAAAATATGATAAGTGGTTCCCTGAAATTGGATATGCCATTGCCATAATTTGCAAAATAATAGCTGGCTTTAAAGCATTGATTTCTGTCAGAACTTGTAATAAAGTATTGCAACATATCAATACGAAAAATTATTACATCTTCATATACTTTTTAAGAAATATTTGAATTTTTACATTTAATAAAGATTTTAAATGGATATAACGTTTCTTAAGATGTTTTGTATAAATCTATCTTCCAATTAATATCTTCTTTAAGTGGTGTTTTCTCGAAATACGTTAGACAAAAAATATTAGTAAATTATTTTAGGAATGCGTTTTAAGTAACAGATCACATTTCTCCCCTTCTCTTTACAATCGTAGCAAGTGTATTACCTCTGCTGTCATAAAATCCCCCACTGCTGCAACAACGACTTGTCTGTAATTGTCAATTAGCAAGCTTTCAACGGCAGCCACAGCCCGTAGTCACAGCTTCCATAAACAAATTTATTTTTGTCTAGTTTTTTTTTCGTTGCCCTGAGCCCCGAGCAATTTGCATATGCCACGGAGTCACTTTCGGTTCCGATTTCCAGCCAGCGACCCACGCAGCATTGACACATGCCTGTCACTGCCACTTGATGTTGCGCCTGTGCGGCAGATAAAAAGTTCGAGATTGGAATCGACTGGCTGCTTGGTAGCATGTCGAAAATTACTACCGATGGCTAGACGATAATTATGCATTTAAGCCGCCTTTACTTTGTCCGCTCGACTTGGGTGTGTTCGATTGACCCAAAATGATTCGGAAAAGCTTGGGAGTTAGCTATGCT